ACCAATTAGCCGAGATGAGAAATTTTAGAACCGATCGAGCACAATTACGTGAATAATTTACGGCCAAGATATGGGATACTAAAGCTGCCAACGCGTTTTGTCGCACGAATCAGGTAGATCGGAACCGGTTGGAGAGAGCCGTGTTTAGAGGTAAAACCTAACGGGAAACGCTGTCGGAGAGACGGAACCTCTCAGATCAGACCAGACTCCATGGCGAATATGCAAAGAGATCGCAGTGGAGAGTTCCCTGTAGTTTAAATTAGGAAGGAACTTACCACTCTTGAGACGATCATTTATTAAATCCTCGATCAGCTGCGGGCACTCGCACTCGATGGCGTAGCAAAACTGCTTGAATTTCTCGAATCCGTTCTTGGCTATAATCTCTATGAGATTGGCGCACTGCAACCGAAGGATCTCCGCATCGTTCAGCCCCACACAGGCTCCACCACCGCCCCCAACAGAGGGCGTCAGCGAGCGATTGTCGCTCTGGGCATCACCATTTACGCTGGCACAGCGGGAGGACCCCGAACCGGCCAAAGAACCGGCACTGTACTCTCCACCAGTACCACAGCCACTTCCACTTCCGCTGGCACTTGTGGAACTTCCACTGCTGGCCACGGCGCTGAGCTTCCGCTTGGTCAAGGCGCCCACGCTGGATGGAGCACTGCCTGGGGGCTCCTGGGTGGAGACTGGAAGTGCAGCGGCAGCATAGGGCTTAAGCAGGAGATCCTCTTCGGATTGGCTGAGCACCGAGTTCTTAACCAGAACGGCCAGGAGATCGGTGCTCCCCAGATCAAGCATAATCCGCTCCTGGTGCCGGGACAGCAGGGATCGCACCTCCTCCTCTTCTTCGCGCGTCATAGCGGCAATTTCTTTTTGGATTTCGCTTTCGAGCGGCGACTTATTCCCACACACAAAACACACAGGCGTACAAAAACAGTTTTTGTTGCACTTTTTTCAGCTTTATCTTCTGTTTCACTTTAGCACACACGCACACATTTTTAATGCACTGTGTCGTTGCATTTTACGTATTAGATTTGTTTTGATTTGTCGTAAATATTAGTAGGTTCGCGCCATTTATTTTCGCAGTTAGTTTAATTCACCCGCGCGCGCCACCTTCGCAAGTCAAGTTTGAATTTTTTTTGAGGTTACAAAGAAACAAGTTTCCATTGTGAATTGTTTTGCCGATACTGTGAACGAGCAATTTGTGGGAATTCTTCTCTTGTTGTCAAATGGTAGGGGAAATTTTCTCCCGTTGGTAAGGGAAATTCGCTCCTGTTGTCAACAGTGCTGCCAACTCTCGGGTCATAAAAGAGCAAAACTAGTCTTTGAAAAAAGTCAGACAATTTTAATGCTCTTTTGACCTGGAAGCAATTCTACACGGAACTTAAGTGTAGCCTCCTAAGGCATAAAAATACGTGAAGTTGGCAGATTTTTCGAAAAAGCTAAAATAGATCCAAAATATCTTGAAAAATGGTTATAGTACCTGATACATTTTGATGGATATTGAAATTGAGCTAAATTGTCAACACTGATGTTATCAATGGTAAGGGAAATTTTCTCCTGTTTTAAGGGAAATTTTCAGTCTCATGCTGCAATGTGCGACGCAATTATGAGTAAAATTTACCACATTCAAATGTACATAAAATGTCGAGAAATCCTGAAAAAATGGTTTTTTGTCAACTGGTGGTATGGACATTTGTATACCCTATTTCCTTGAATTCTGTTTTCCCAGCCCTTGTAAGGCATTCTTTAAGCATTTCTTGATTTGAAAATATGTTAATTATTCATGCATTTATTTGTTTTCTGTTTGATTCTAGTTTGATTGAACGGTAATCTACAATATTTCAATTATTATCTCCCAAAAGAAAGTTGATCCTTAGGAAAAGTTCTTCCACAATGTTTTTCTAACATATTTAACCATCCAATACGAGTCATCAAATATTCAAGCGCGTCTAAAATGTATATTTTTAATGTTAAAAATCAATCAATTGTAGGTACTGAGCGGATTGTTCCATACGACAGAGGCTTTTATTAAATTATTAAATGCTACACATAATATGTTTTTAATTATTGCCACATTAGACATATGTACATATATACATGTATGTATGTACATATATTTAAAAATATACATATGTACATATGTATACATATGTAAAGACATACATACTTATGTAAAGGGACATATACAGCTCGCTTATATCGCATTAAAATGTAGTTAAAATAGCTGTAAAACAAATCATAACTAGTTTACGCATTCATTGGAGGCTGGATTGCCACATTGTATTGCACTATCATTTCGTATTGTGTTAATGAGGATCTTCCCAAAACCGGAATCGGAAGCCCCCGTCCTGTCAAGTCACCCATAGCCTTGATTAATTGGCATTGCCAGCAGGCCACACATGCTCAATCACTTAACTGGAGTGTTATTGCCAATCTGTTTCGACCAGACACTGAGAAACAGGCAATACAAACCAGGCAGCAGCAGCACAGACACACAAAAGGGCTCTAATTAGGCCTGGTTCGAATAAGTACGAGGTAGCGTAATAATAGCAGATGGTAGAGCCAGACGCTGGAAACGGATAAAGGTAATTATTGGCAATGATTGGAAATTAGTTCATTGAGAGCGGCACCGAAACGGTAAACTGATTCTACTGAATAGCACTTGCATTCGTTTTACAAATTCCATGAATTTTCGAAATATCAACAGATTAACAGGTGTCCGCGCCCCACGTCACCACCTCCACTAGTCAATCTCCCACTACGATAATTGTTTGCATAAATTTGATTTGTTTATAGGCTGCCGCCCGCTAACGCTGATGCCTTGGCTTAGCGGCCTTATGCCTCCATAAATTATGCAAAAATGCAGTCGAAATGCAGGGCCCCAATAAAAAGTATCGCTCATAATTCCAGTCATGGCTTTTCGCATTTCTAAACGCGCGCACTAGCTTCCCCGCACCCCTTAGACCTTGTCAATCAAAGAGAGGGACAAATGTTGTTTTTTGTTGTTGTGGAATCAGAGTAGTTGATAGTTGATGATTAAAGTCAGAATGTGGTGTGGAAGAGGCAGAAAGAGTGAGGGAGTTGGAGAAGGAGAGGAATAGCAGAAAGCAGTAGGTAAGAAAAAAGTGCGATGGAGCTGTGGAGAGTTGAGCGGGAAAGAGATGGAGACTGCGTTAGTTAGATGCCAGCAGCGTTGGATTAGAAGAGAAGGTAATTGGATAAAGAGAGCATAAGTCTCAACTTTATGGAACTGCAAAGTGAGACCTGGCTAAACGAGGCAGAATCCATAGTGGTGGCTGCTGTCATGGCAAGAAGAACATAAATATATATGCATATACATTCATACATACTAGAAAAGTTAGATTAATCTATAAACCAAAGTATGTATTGTACATACGTACAATGTACATATGTATTTTAACATCTTGTGCAGTATGCATCCCACAGTCTCGTTTAGCCAGTACTGCTCTCTGTGGTGGGTGGAGAGATAGAATGAAGGGAGAGAGAACGCGTTGATGGGAATGTGTGTATGAAATGCATGCAAATTACAGTTATTAAGCGGACAATAGCTTTGTCATGCGAGTGCATTCAAAATATTTGAAAGAGAACTAAAAAAATAGGAAAAGAAATCAGCATCCTGCTGATTGCAGGATGCTCTATACACTGAAACAAATTTACTAGAACAAATATTAAAAGTTTTTCTTTTAGTTCAGTTTTTCCATTAATTTCAATGCTATTTTGTTGTATGATATTCCTCTAATAATTTCAAAGTCCTCAATGCTTTGTTTGAAAACATTTGTTGCAGTGCAGCTTAGGGATTACATTTCGAAAAGGGCAATAATTCTGTGTAAGTCAAGGCTGTGGGGGAGTGTTATATCAATTGTACCACATGTTCTTGCTGAATATTCCCGTTTAGTATTGCTCGTCACGTCTCTCTGGCTTCCTCTGCAATTAAGAAAGTGTTGTTGGGGGAGAAAATTCGATGAGATTTGGTCAAGACAGGGATGGGGGATACAACTTACACAACTTAAGCCACTGTTCGACTGTCTGTATCTCTTCCTGTGTCCAAAGTAAGGGCTGAAGAAAAGCAGCCCTCAATAGACGGGGTGACTGCTGTCATCCATCAAAGGCTGTCCCTTACCCTAACAATAAAACTTATATCAGACTCTCCCAACTTCCAGGTGCACTTGTTAGATAATCATCTTTGGGAATTGTTTGCAACTCCATTTACCGATTGCAGAGCGCACGTGGGCCACCAGGTCTCATCGGAATTGTTTGAGGAATTGTTATTTTTTATTATTTGGTAATTACTTGTAATGGATTGCTTATCGGGTAGCGTATAAAGCAGTTGTCAATCTGTTATGTAATCTGGTCTAATATAAAGGCCATAAAATGGATTGTGCAGCTGGTTCTAAGTGTTGGTAATGACTTCCGAATGTTTTTCCAGGTGGATATTTAATTATGTTTATTAGAGTGTAACTTTATGGTAGCAACATGAAATGTGTTAATTATGTATAATGTATTCATTTCCGTGGATTTTAAGATCATATGCTAAGGTACTTTAAGCCGGATGACTTACTTTGAATGTAAAATATCGAAAGTTATTGCTAAAATACTTTAATAAATGACTGTAAATATTTAGCACAAATTTCTTCTAAAAAAATTACTCTGTAATTTTTCGTACTGTATGTAAGTACATTTGTGCCTCAATGTTGTCAAGGAGGTAACTTTTAGTTTATATTTAAGTTCCACGAAGTGTCCCACCCGTTTCGTGAAATCAGTTTTCGCTATTTTTTAAAGTGCGCCACCCTAATACAGATGTCTCATCAAAGCAAATGAGAAATCAAAGCGCATCACACGCTAACTACTCCCCGTTACTTCTGCCCGCTAAAGGTCTTCCAGCACCCATACACGCGCAACGAAAGTCTCCAAGTCTCCCACACACATGTGCAGAACATAATGGAAGTAATGAAATCTAGCGGATCACATTGAAAACCCCTCTCTCACTTTCGTTCAAGCGATGGCCACTTTCAGAAGTGTCCACAGCGAGCCATACACTAGTAAAAACAGCAGCAGCAGCAGTCGCCTGACGGCATTGAGAAAACGCCTGACCACGTGTTTCCAGCAGTGGTGCCAACAGCTACAGCAGCCACCTTCCTACCGCAAAAGTGGCCCCAACCACTTTTACAAGATCTTTGTGCAAGCCGACTACAAGGTATTTGGCGAAAAGGCCAAATATATTCGGCAGTTTAAGAAGATTTTCAAGGGGAACAAGGATTTGGCTAGGAAAAGGGAACCAGAGAGGGTAGTGGTAGTGCCCGAGACAGAGACAGAGACAGTGCCCGCCCAATCAGTGGATGTGACAGAGGTGATAGAGAGGAAACAGCTGGAGCTTGTGGCCAGACTCTTTTCATCCACACTGATATCCACGCAGGAGGAGATATCCTGTAGCTACAAAAGCAGCAGCAGCAGCATGACCATCATAGAGAGCAATTACATTGGAGTGCGGGAGGAGTACCCGGAAATAGACAGCGAGATACGGTCCATTTTGTTGGCCAATGCTCAAAGTGGCATCACGATATCGAGCATCAAAAGTGAGTATGCCTTCAGAACAGAACCCGCCTAAAATATGTGCAGATCCCTAATCCCGACGACCCTGTTCTTCAGATGAGTATCGGAAATTGACGGGCAATCCGTTTCCACTGCACGAAAATGTCACCGACTTTCTGCTCACCATCCCCCACGTGACCGCCGAGTGCAGCGTGACCGGGAAGCGAATTTTTAATATGAAGCCACGCCCGGAGACGCGCCACCTGTACGAGATGGTCGTTAATCAGAAGCGTAGCAACGACCTGGTGTCCCAAGATCATCCGGAGGCAGCACGACCACCACGCTTCTGGCGCTATCAGTACAAGCGTCGGGCCCTGTCCTCACTGGACACCAACAAGAGTCACAACCGAAATATCAATCACATCGAGGAGAAGCTATCGACTGTGGACAGCAAAGAATGTACACTCCAAGCCCAGGTGGGTCCACTGCAGCAGCTGGCCAGGGCTGCGGCGGAGTCCAACTGGTGCTATCAGGACAATTGGAATCATCTGTAAGTAATACGTTTAAAATCATTTAAGGGGTATTAAGAGTTCAGTTTATAAGATTATGCCTATCATTATATGATACCTTCCATTCTTTCAGCAACAACTGCTATCGGCGTACCAACATCTTTACCGCCCCTCCAGAGAAGCCACCGCCGTTGCCGGCTCAAGAAAATCAACATCCTCACATCAGCCAGAACAAGCAAGAAAACCCAAAGAACCACCAAGAAAACCTAAAGAACCAACTGAATTTGTTAGTGTCCGAACAACATCAGCAGCAGGAGAGTCGCACCTCAAATAAGCGACGAAATGATTTCTCGCCGACACCCACACCCACTACCATATCGAGTGGGACGCAGCATGACTCCATGTTCACCATCAACTCCGATTACGATGCCTACTTGCTGGACTTTCCCCTATTGGGGGATGATTTCCTCTTGTATATGGCCCGCATGGAGCTGAGGTGTCGCTTCAAGCGGAGTGTGAGGGTCCTGCAGTCAGGTCTGTGCGTATCTGGGCAGACAATAAGTGCCGCCCGGTCACGATTGCATCGTGTTCAAATGTTCAAGGACACGCATGTAATTGTCAACATTGGATCCGTGGACATAATGCGAGGCAAACCGATTGTGCAAATCCAGCATGACTTTCGTCAGTTGATCAAAGACATGCACAAGCGGGGACTCACCCCGATCCTAACCACTTTGGCCCCGCTCGCCAATTATTGTCACGACAAAGTTGTGTGCGACAAGGTGGCAAAGTTCAACCTTTTCATTTGGAAGGAGTGCGCAAGTTACCTGAAGGTGATCGATATACACTCGTGCCTAGTCAACGAAAAGGGCGTCGTGCGGTTCGATTGTTTCCAGTAGTAAGTGGCAAAGATTTCTCAGTCACTCAGTCCCAGGTGCTAATCGATCCTTCTAATTCACAGCTTATCCCGCAATGTAACGGGCTCCAGGGAATCCTATGTGTTCTGGAACAAAATTGGCCGGCAACGTGTTTTGCAAATGATTGAAGCGAGTCTGGAGTATTGATCGTATCTGATGAACGGAGGCTGGTCTGGCACTGGTCTCCCTCAGGAGGAGAAGCAGAATGAAGATGTTTTATATCCACGCTGACGGCGCAGACGCTGTGTTTTTGAACGAAAGTTGCTTACTATTTTTAATGTGTTTTATGTTTTCATGTTCATGTGTATATTTATGTTTATTTGTATTTGTCCCTTGTATTTGTCTGTTCGTGTTAGTCCCTAGTCTAAATAATTGTTTATAATTTGTGCGTTTTTCGTGTTTTTTGTTTTGTTAGATTTTAGCCTTTTCCCAAGTTTTTTGTTGCCGCTTATTGAGTTTGTCTTGATATTTTCAACTAGTTTTTGCTACTATCCTAAAAACTAGAGAAAAGTTCATTACTAAAACAATTTGAGGCAACGAAAACTTGTCTACAAAATGTTCATATAATTTCCAAAACATTTCCCATTGCAATCCATGTGAAAGGATTGCAAAGCGAAATGATATTCAAATGCAAATCATTGCGTTGTTATAAACTGTTTTCTGTTACTGTTTCTGTATCTATTGTTGGCCAAAATGTTGCATTCTCCTGTATGCGAACTTTCGCTGACTCTCTCTCCCCTCGCTCTCTATCCATGTGTGGGAGTGGGTTGGCCTTGTGGTAAATACATTTGAGTCATGCGACATTTTGGGCTTTGAATGAAAATGCATTTGCTTTACTTGAATCCTTTGCTTGCACAAAATCAACGCCGCGGCTGATTTATTATGTATGTGTTTAAGCATGTTCTAGTAAAGTACTTGCGCAATTTTCGTGCTTTCGTTTCCGTTTCGTATACAAAAGTTTATAAAAAGTTTACACTCTGCTGCAGACACGCGCTCAGAAGTGCGCGCGCTAAAGTGTGTTTGTGGGACAGTGTAGCATAGAAACTTCTCTTTAATTATCTAAAATGAATTCTTTACTATTTACTATTTATAAACTAATTCTCCCTCGTCTTGAATGTATTGTATGTTAATCGTATGTATTGAAAGTGATCACGTTTTTTTTTTTGTATGTCCTCATATAACAAGTCGCAATGTAAAATCAAAAAAAAATGTTAAAATGAAACCTTAAGGTAAAATCAAAAATAATTTGTTTATTTATTTGGGACATTTATGAGGTCCATCGTGGATTTGAAAGGGATTTAAAAGAATAGTTGCCTAGCTCCTTCCAGTTATCGCACAAAAATACCAATATGATTTGCAATCGTGCATCGATAGATAAACTCAAAAGTTGAATGATCAAATACAACGACGAGGAACAACAGAAAAATAATATTGATTATTAATATTGATCTCTGAAAACTATTATCTTAATATATAATCTAAAAGAATTCATTCATTCATATGTTGATTTGCTTTAAACCAAACATTTACACTTTTTTAAACCAAGCGCTTGCCTCTATCGATATATCGCATTGTCAAACCGTATTAAGTGCTGCAAAACGCTCACCTCAAGTGTTGCAAGTCGTCCCACACAAGGCAAAAACAGGCGAAAAAAGTAAGCAGATTTTTGTACGTCAACTTTTGGGGCTATTCATTTGACAATTGTTTCCGACTAATTCCAGTACAAAATGGCTTCATTCCTGGCACGAACCGGCGGTCCACTAATCGAGTCCGTCAGACCCAAGACCGTTCAAAAGGTAGGTGCAGTGCAATACGGATTAATTTGCCATTTAAGCAAATGCAAAATATGTCACTTTACATAATAATGGTAAAAAGAGACAGCGGGCAAAGTGAAGAGCGGCCGCTCTCTCAGTCACGCATACATATGTGGAGAATGGAGCATAAGTGGGTGCCACAGGGGCGGATCGGCTGTGCGGGGGTGTGGATCGGTTGCTTAAAAGTGTTAATATTCAATAATTTCCTGCGCAGTTGATTTTTATAGAGAGAAAGTAAACATTTGCAAGTGCTAAAGTGAATAATGTTCAAGGCCCCCGATCTCTCAGTTCGCCCCTGGAGACAGCTGGTAGCCACCTGACTAGCGGTGTGTCAGTGTGACGCAACTTTGCAGTGCTGTCGCGTGTGTGTGCTTTTGCTTGAGAGTGTGTTAGTGGGTAACGGTGAATAGACCTTGAATTCCTTAATTTGCTATTTATTCCATTTTTTTATCAATGAGCGTATGACAACTGTTGCTTTCATGGTCGGGGCCTAGTCGCACTAATTAAAAGCCTAATCTGTGTGAATTAATCTTAGTTATCATCTACAATCCACCGTAAGACCCGCACCTAACCCACTTTTGATTCCATTTTGTTTATGTTTTTGGAGGGTCTATGACGCATAGAACCGGATTCTCAATCTTTAGACTTGCTTTCAGATAATTTAAATCTATTTTTCTTATCATTTGCAGATCCTCAGCTATGCTCCTGTTGCACTGCAGCAGTTGCGAAACCTGAACGTGCAGGAACATGTCTCGTACACCCTCCTCAACGAGAGTGGAATCCCAACACCTCGGTAAGCATGGACACCTATCAGGAAAGTATCGGTCCAAAGTTCAAACAAAGTGCCGCGTTGTCGCTGACGCTTTATATTTGTTTGCACTTTAGCCAGGGAGAAACTGCTCCGATTAGCGATTGGCGTACGAACCGAGTCATAATTTGCATTAATTAACTGGTCCCTGAACTGGGGTAAACAAACCAAAGAACAGCGGAACGCTGACCGAGAAGAACTGCAGATGATAAGGGGAGATAAGGTGTTTTATGTAGTAAAGACAAGGGTCAGTGACGTAGGTCCAGATAAGTCCGTGATAGTAATACATACGTTTGTGAATTAAAAGTAACTATCATTTGTTTATATAGTCGCACTTTTAGATAATCTGGTGACCCCATAACCATAACCTAATCATGCGATTATTAGTCTCTAGTGAAATCCTTTGTGTCTTCTAAATGACCGTGTCAACCTTGAAATGTACTAATTCCCAGCCTTCACAGGTTACAAATATGACTTAAATGGGGCTGCTGATAATGGGAATGTGCTATGTATAGGAATTCTTTATCAATAAATTGATGCTCAAGTTCAATGGGTCGTTTCCCAGCATATGTTACCGTAGAGATTGATTCTACATTGTTGTAGGAGGGTTATTATTTATGAACTTGATTTAACTTTATTTTTTCCTTTCCTTTACAGCTTTGCTGTGGCCAAGAATGGCAAGGAGGCGAGCGACATTGCCAACAAGCTGAAAACAGACAATCTTGTGCTGAAGGCTCAAGTTCTAGCCGGTGGACGAGGCAAGGGAACCTTCAAGAATGGCCTCAAGGGTGGCGTGCGTGTGGTCTACGAGTAAGTTGATGCTTACATTTCAATGGAGAATGTTTAAATGAACGAACCTTATTTAGCCCCAAAACTGCAGAGGACCTTTCCTCGAAAATGATTGACCAACTCCTGATTACCAAGCAAACCGGAGCCGCTGGTCGCATCTGCAAGAAAGTGATGGTTGCTGAGAGGAAATTCCCCCGCCGTGAGTTCTACTTTGCCGTCATGATGGAGCGTGCCTTCAATGTGAGTTGAATCATGTGAAATTCTTAAGGAAATCCAACTAAAGGAGACTCTTGCAGGGTCCCGTTTTGATTGCCTCGAAGGAGGGTGGCGTAGATATCGAGGAGGTGGCCAAGGAGAATCCCGATGCCATTATCTATGAGCCCATCGACATTGCCAAGGGTCTGACTGAGGAGCAGGCATGCAAAATTGTCGATAAGGTCGGCCTTGGCGGCGACGGCTCCGGTGAGCATGTTAAGATGCTGCTCAACCTATACCAGCTGTTCGTGAAGAAGGATGCTCTCTTGGTGGAGATCAATCCCTACGCCGAGGATGCCATGAGTGGCTGTAAGTTCTCTATTTGTTTTCGTGTCAAGTTTTCTTTTGTGTAATCCATTTAAAAACCTACCCCACATCCCTAAATCACCTTTGTTCTGTCCAGGCTGTGAGTATGCATGAAACTAATACGCCATCATTCCATCAATTAATTAATTCAATCACCAACTGTATCGGTAATTCTATTATCAAATCTAATCAATTTGAAACCCTTTTTAAGTCTTTGCATTGGATGCCAAACTGCGTTTCGACGACAATGCAGAGTTCCGTCAGAAGGAGCTGTTCTCCATGCGGGATTGGACCCAGGAGGATCCCAAGGAAGTGGAGGCTGCCAAATACAATTTGAATTACATTGCCCTGGATGGCACCATCGGCTGCATGGTGAACGGTGCCGGTCTGGCCATGGCCACCATGGACATCATCAAGCTGTATGGCGGTGAGCCAGCCAATTTCCTGGATGTGGGTGGCGGTGCCACTGCCGATGCTGTCAAGGCTGCCTTCAAGATTATTACCTCGGACAGGAAGGTGCTCTGCCTGTTGGTGAACATCTTTGGCGGCATTATGCGTTGCGATGTCATTGCTGAGGGTATCATTGCTGCTGCCAAGGATCTAAATCTTAACTTGCCCATTGTTGTGCGTCTGCAGGTGGGTTGGGAACAATTGATTGATCGTTGATTGTAGGATAACACTGCTTGTAATTAATATTCTTTAAAGGGCACCAAAGTAAAGGAGGCTCGCGAACTGATACGCGCATCTGGCCTGAAGATTTTGGCTCGTGATGATCTCGACAAGGCCGCCGATCTGGCCGTGCATTTGGCGCAGATTGTGAAGCTGGCGCGCGAAATGAAAATGGATGTGAATTTCGAGATTCCCGCCGACCAAAAGTAGATAAATCATGATAAATAATGGCTAAGTCAACCAACATACTACCACAAAACAAAAAACAAGTCAAACTCTTACTCAACACACTAAAACAACAAAAACTACTCAATGGAGGAAAACGCCATCGCTTTGTAGTTAAAGAACATTATGTATTCGTAACGATCGGTCGAAACAATTGATGAACGATGATAATTTTTGCAAAAATGTTAAGTTTAAAGTTTAAACCCCATAAACTCCTCGTATAAATTGTTGAGAGTCCAGCCCTAAGATATATGCCTAGATAATTCGAATAATCCAAGCACGTTGAGTGTTCTCTTTGCACCTAAACCGTTTCTTAATAATCACCATTAAAGTGCACGAAACAGATACATACAGTAAAAAGTAGGGAATGCAAAGCCATCGGTTCAATTGTGATTTTTGCCAAATTCATTTAACTTTTATTTATTGAGAAATTGCGAAACTGCTTCGAAAGTAGTTCCCCAGATTGTGTATTATTTGTGCAATTTAGTTTGCCTTAAATTAAAACTCGAAACAATCATAAAAGCTTAACACATTTTTATTGGTTAATTTGTTAATTTCAATCGTAATTCATTTCTAATATATAAATCCATTTGCTGTACCTGTACCCCCAGGGGCAAGAAAGATCAAGGCAAGAAGGAATGTAAGGAAGAGAAAAGCAAGAGCAAGTAACGCAACAAGGAGAAAAGCAAGAAGTAGGCGAAGAATATTTTCCGAAAATAAACTTAATCAAACTAAAATGTCCAGGAGGATCTCCCAAGACTAAGAAAACCAAAAATAGAATGGATTGCTGGGGAATGAAACAATGGGAATGGAGTGTTTGCCAAGCCTAAAGATTAAATTTCTTTAAAATTCAAATTTTACCACTCAGAAATGTCCAACACAACATTTTATAAACTTTTTTTGGAATTGGCCCTAGTAAAAGTTTTGATAGGCAATTGTTTTGTATGTTTCAAGAATAGGTTTTGTGGTTTATTACGTTGTCTTAGAAACGATCGACTAGAGATAGTATGTGGGTTTGCTCCTGTTGCCGCCAGTCAGTATCGCCATCGCCCAGATTGCCAGCATATTCTGTAATTGATAATCAGCATCAGAATGATCAGAGTGATTGATTAGCTTACGAGATAAATTACCTCTCATGATGCTTCTGATGGTCTTCATGGAGGCTCCACGTAGGTTTAGAATCTGTAGCACGCGCTGCTTGACCGTCTCCGAGGTGGAGCTAACCTCCAGCAGTATATAATCGATTCGCTGGAGCGTAAAGAGGCCGCCAGTCAATCGTTTTATGTAGTTATTCTCCGCCTCCTCGTCCTCATCGATACTGGGATCCTGTGGCA